GATAACTTTTAAAATGGTTATATCCTTGAAAATTGCATATGATGCATTCTAGGACAAAGTATTCTCTAAAATCACTGGTCCTCTTCTTTTAATGTAGCTGCTTGAACTTTTCCCCAAGAAAGAAGTCTTTCTGCGAAAATTAGGAAATGTTAGGAAATGACTCACTTTTCCATTTAGTAGTGGGCTCTCAAACAAACCTCACCTATTTTTTTATTTATGTGCATTTAGAACTTGGTCTGAAACACTGACTTCTTAAAAATTAGAAATCTTCAAGACCTGACTTAACACATCAGTTATAAATAAAGTTTAAAAAGAAGTATTTCACAACAAATCATTCGGATTTTTTTTAAACTAAAGGAGGTGGAACAATTTAATAGAAAGAACTCACTGGACAGTGCTTTGGAGAAGTTTAACTTTCAAAGTGGAACCTGATTCTTTATAAAATAAAAATGTTAGACTTCATAGTTAAAAGCATAGCTAGAAGTAGAACCTAGATTCCTAGGTAGTGCTCAGGTTTTGTTTTATTTAGCAACATTTTGTTAGTGTAATTAAGAGGCCAACTCTAGTAGATATATAAGAAAAAATGAAGTCTACTATTACGCCTCTAACTCCGTGCTACTGAATTTGAGAAAGTTACAGACCCTGCTGAAAATACTAGCTGCCTTTAATTCCATGCCATGTATGCAAGTCACTTCATGTGTGTCATTTTTAATCCACACAGTATTACAAAGTTTTGCTCCCATTTGACAGATAAGAAAGCTCAGACTCTGAACATGTTAAAATAACTTGCTTAGACTGTACTTCTCTAGTTTTCAACTATAGCAGAGTCATAAGAGGTATCTTTCAGGTTCAGTTCAGTTCAGTTGCTCAATCTTGTCTACTTCTTTGTGACCCCATGGACTACAGCACGCCAGGCTTCCCTGTCCATCACCAACTCCCAGAGCTTGCTCAAATTCATGTCCATTGAGTCAATGATGCCATACAACCATCTTACCTTTTGTGGTCCCCTTCACCCTGCCTTCAGTCTTTCCCAGCATCAGGGTCTTTTCCAGTGAGTCATTCTGTGCATCAGATGGCCAAAGTATTGGATTTTGTTTCAGCATCAGTCCTTCCAATGAATATTCAGGACTGATTTCCTTTAGGATTGACTGATTTGATCTCCTAACTGTCCAGGGTACTCTGAAGAGTCTTCTCCAACACCACAGTTCAAAATTATCTATTCTTTAGCGCTCAGCTTTCTAACTCTCACATCCATACATGACTACTAGAAAAACCATGGCTTTGACTAGACAGACCTTTGTTGGCAAAGTAATGTCTCTGCTTTTTAATATGCTGTCTAGGTTAATCATAGCATTTCTTCCAAGGAGCAAGCGTCTTTTAATTTTATGGCCGCAGTCACCATCTGCAGTGATTTTGGAGCCCAAGAAAATAAAGTCTGTCACTGTTTGCCTTGTTTCCCCATCTATTTGCCATGAAGTGATGGGATTGGATGCCATGATCTTCCTTTTTTGAATGTTGAATTTTAAGACAACTTTTTCACTCTATCCTTTCACTTTCACTAGGAGGCTCTTTAGTTCTTCACTTGCAGCCGTAAGGGTGGTGTCATCTGCATATCTGAGGTTATTGATATTTCTCCTGGCAGTCTTGATTCCAGCTTGTGCTTTGAATGATGTAATCTGCATATAAGTTAGATAAGTAGGGTGACAATGTACAGCCTTGATCTTTCAGGTACATTGTTATTAATAAGTGTACTGAAGTTTGCAGATGATAAAAACAGGAGCACATTTAAGTTATTCTTGTACTCTTAATCTTCCTCACTTGTTTTTTGATGTGCTTTCTCGAATGGGAGAGAGAAATGGACTTATAGCTTTGAGCTAGGAATTCATCTACCCTAGCCTCATCTGGGCTAGAGCCCATGGTGAAACAGTGGTATTTTATTAATAGTTAGAACTGTTGTGTATTATTTTAGTATCTGCTTTTGTTGAATGTTGTTTTGTGACTTATCAAAACCCAGATACTGTTATCTACTGTGAACATCTTTTGTTAAAAAGAAAAAAAGAACAGCAAAAAGGAGGAAAAATAAAATTGGAATATGTCCTAGCGAGAAAAGAAGTGAGAAAAAAGGAACTTGAGCTCTCTTTTCCCCTGCCTATTAAATATATGGTTACTATTGTTAGAGTCTGAAATTTTGAGTTGGAGGGGACCTCTGGGTTATTGAAATGATAGCCTGTAAAAAAAAAAAAGTTTGGGAACAATTTAGGATACATGCTAGGATCAGTTTTATATTTTCTAATAAATTTTTGTTTTCCTTTCTTAGTATTAGTTCAGAAGCAGGCCTCGAAATTGATAGCCAGCAGGAAGAAGAGCCTGTTCAGGCTTCTGATGAGTCAGATCTTCCTTCCACCAGCCAGGACCCTCCTTCCAGTTCTTCTGTAGGTAAGTCCCTGCTCCAGACTACAGTACAGCTTTTACACATCAGTCTTGTTTGCAAAAGACACTGTTCTGTTAGTAACAATTGATAATTCTTTTTTCCTTGTCTTTTAAAATGCTTCATTTGAAAGGAAAATTTTACTTTATTAAAAAGAACTTTTAATTTGTATTAAAGGGAATTGGTTGTATCAAAGGTGCCATAGGGGCTGGAGGGATGGATTATTGCGAGGGATGCTAAAGAGTGGTCTCCAGGCTCTTGCCTATATTTAAACCAGAGCAATTCTTTTCTTTATCTCTTCTAATTGATAAGTTCTACATGAGATTTGGTATGTAGAGTTGAGGGTTGGGAGGCCTGTTGCTTAAAAAGAAATTGAAATTTACTGATGTAAATAGTTTTAAAGTTTGGTTTTTCACATTTTTGAAGTTAACTTTGAAAAGGGCCATGGATCTTTCTTGCAATGAAAATTATTTCTGCAGTTCTTTTTTTAAAATGGTTAATATTTATTGAGCACTTACTTTGTATCAGACAGTATTCTAAGCCCTTTACCTGTATTTGTTCATTTAATTCTCATACCACCCAACTTGGTAAGCACATATCTCCATTTCATAGAAATGGAAACTGAGTCACAAAAAGGTTGAATAATTTCCTTCAAAGTCACACAATAATGGGCAAGCCAGGAGGCAAACTCAAGAAGTTTGACTGGAGATGCCACTCTTAAATGGTACACTGAGATAGCTTATTTATCTCAGAGTTTTTAGCTAGGGAATTTCTTTTCTTATTAAAGAAATATATTCTCAGTCACCCACTCTTAATTGTTTCATTTTAAATTGTTTATAGCAGTAATCTTCAAACTCTGTCATGGAACCTTCAGGTTTTATGGAAGACCTCAATTACTACTTTTTTCAGTCATGGCACTTGGCTATCTCAAGACCTCTTCTCCCTTTCTGCTGCTTTTCTGTGACACATTAACCCATTAGCTAATATGCCCAGATTTAGATTCTGTATCTGTCTTTTAACAGCTAGTAACTTTAAATCTCTGCTCACTTCATTGTGAAATATGGATGTTCATAACTCATCTTGCAATCAGGATTAGAAATAATGTATGTAAATTATATAACTCAGTGCTTTGCACACAGGCTCAATTTGTAGCTGTCATAATTATTATCAATATGATAGCATTATGAATAATATAATAATTGAAGTTCTGTGCCCCCAGTCATATTCTGATGTCCCATGAGAATTATCTTTCCTCCACCGGTGGGCACGAGTTATATCTTACCAGAGCTTGCGTAAGAAAATATGGTTCTTATTCCCTTTTACAGTATAATATGAAATTAGGATATTAACACTAATCCTCCCCATCTGAGCAGTCATCCATGTGGTCAGCAAATATTTAAGTGCCTACCAAGTGCCAGGCAGTTTTACAGAAGCGTTATGAAAGAAAGTGATATTTAAGGAAAAACCTGAAGGTCAGGAAGCAAAGCTGTGCAACTCTTCAGGGGACCATGTTCCAGGACGAGAAAAAGAGTAGATGCAGAGTCCATAGGCAACAGTGTGGTATGTTCAGGGTCAGCAGAGAGGCCCGTGTGACTGAAGCGTAATCTGGACAGAGAGATAATGGCAGGAGATAAGGGGTGGGGGAGGATAGATCTTGTAGCCCATTGTCATTTCTTCAGCTTTCATGGATGCAGCAGGCTTTTGGAGGGCTTCAGACAGTGTGGTGACAGGATCTGATTGAACTTAGTATCAGTTTGGCTGCTGTGTAAAGAAGAGACTGAAAGTGAGTAATGGGCAGCAACAAAGAGAGTTTGGAGAATATTGCAGTAATTGAAGGTAAAGACAGGATAGTGGATGTTTTAGACAGGATAGTGGAGTCAAGATTGTGAGGAGTCAAATTCAGGATATAGATTAAAATTACAGGATTTGCTAATGATTGGATTGGGGGTGTCTGGAAAAGGGAGGAGTCAGATATGACTGGTGGTATATCGCAACGGACTGTTGTTTCCTGAAGGATGTTGCTAGTTTGTTTTCCCATTGTATTCCCCAGCTCCTTGCTCAGTGGATAGGAGCCAAGTAAATATTTATTATTAAATCATAACAGTTGGGTGAAATGAATGAAAAAGTCAAAAAACAAATTTTTTTTTAACTTTTTACCTTTTTGTTTGTTAAATGTCCCTTGTTAAAAAACAAACAATATTTAAATATAGAAAGCAGTGGGCACCTTTGCATTCTATCCATGCATTCACTTAGTATTAGTTTTTGTCATTTTAACTGCTTTCTTGTTTATTAACTTGCTTTCCTGTATATTAATGCTTTTCTTAGATACTAGCAGTAGTCAGCCGAAGCCTTTCAGACGAGTAAGACTTCAGACAACATTGAGACAAGGTGTCCGTGGTCGCCAGTTTAACAGACAGAGAGGTGTGAGCCATGCAATGGGAGGGAGAGGAGGAATAAATAGAGGAAATATTAATTAAATGTTCTGTAAACTACAATAACTGTGAATAAGATTGTCAGATCTGTTTTAGTGTAATGACTGTCAAGTTTAAAAACAATTTTGTATTTAAATTGGTATGCTTATCTCAACGTTCTTTATTAATAAAATGTATTTCAGTGTCCACATTTATCATTCGCCTCTTCATTTTAATTAGTTGATTCTTCCTTCGCCCGTCAGTCTAAGGACAGTTGTACCAGCTATTGGATAAGGTCTGCCCAGAACGAGCAGTGATGGCTCTTGCTGTCCTGCTTGGCACGTCGATGTTATAGTATTGATCTAAAAAGAGGAAGGATTACTTTTCAATTAAAAAGAAAATAAAACACTTAAAAGTAGTTTCTATTTATTTTTATGCTCAAAGAGAGTATTTATCATTTTAATATAAAAAATGTATTGATTAATTAATTTGAACTTTCTGACAAAAAGAAAACCAGCTGCCTAGGCAGACTGACCTTTCACCATCTTTCAATGAAATTATATTTAATTCTGCTTTTTCAGTGTAAGAATTTGAGAAAACCAAGTTAGTTTAAAAAATGATCATTTGTTTGAATGTTATTCTTTAAAAAAATACATTCTGATGTCATTTATATAGGCAGAATAGCTTATATTTTCATGACTTTTTCAAAGAAAAATACCCCAGGTAATATAATTAATAAAATTAGTTTCTCAAGAACTTCTTTCTGATCTTACAGACTGTGTAATGATATAAATAGGTATAACTTCATAGTAAGTAAGGCCTCTGTCAAATGCCACTGATAATAAAAGTAAAATATTATTTTCAGTAGCAGTTTTAACTCAGTTTAGTGGATGTTTTATTATACTAGGCTTTAATCTCATGAAGGATAGGGCAGAAATGAATTGTAATCCATTCAGTTTAATTAAAATAAACCAATAACCTCTAAGCTTTCTCTTCAGAATAATTAGAGTAAGTGATAGAATTTAACTTCTCACCTTTAGTCACCATTGAACACTTGGTTTTGCTTTGATTTTATTCATGTCTCAAAGATAATAACTTACCTTTAGAAAAGGCATAGTAATCATAGCCATCGGGTTTTCTGATGTTGGGCAGTGATATTGCTGAAGTAACCACATTTGGAAGTCCTGTCCACAGTGTACTCACTTTAACTTCATTATGGAGGAAACCTGTAGATGACATTTTAAATGTGATATTGAAAGGCAGTGTACTGTAAGCAGTTGGAAAGAGCAGTTGTTGAGTCAAACAGACATGGGTTTTAACCTTAGTTTGGTCACAGTAGCTCTGTTACCGTGGGTGAGTTAACTTCAATGCCTCAACTTTTGCTGTCTCTCATATGATACAAATATCTACCTTTTAGGACTATTTGGAGGGTTATAGATTTGAGCTTAATGTTCTTAGTTAATGGTGTTTATTATAATTAATAAACTTGAATAAATTGTCTTTCCTATCCACAAAAATACCGTATTGATCTTTGGTCATTCATTGAGGCAAATTGATGTTTTACATTAATAAGCTTAAAGTATTAGGGTTATTTGGCCAGAATTTATATTTAATAATCGATACTATATTACATCTACTTCATGTGTAAAAATTAACACAGTAAAAAATATTACCTTTGTCTTGATAAGGGACTCTGATGGGTGAGTAGTGAATTCTGATGGTGTGTATTTGAGAAGGTCCTATAGCGCGTTCAAATCGACGTCTCCTAACCTGTGCTGTTTCTCCATACACGGAATAGTTTATAGCAGGCCTTCTTCCAGTACACTTTTGGGTGGGTTCTTGTTTGTAAGTGTACTGCTGAACACTGCCACCTATGATGAATTAGAAAATCACATATAGTATGAAAATTAATTCTAATGCCCAAAAGAGGTAGAAGAGAGCTTTTTACGAGGTAGAGGAAACAATGGATGTTTTTTATACAGTATGGTCCAGCCCATTAATAATGGTTATTAGTCAAGGGTACTGTAAAAATAACTGACTCTTGAAGTACTTGTGAATAAAGCCAATGCACTGCGTAGTTATATATTTAGCTTTGTTTGAAATAAATAACATTCTTTATATAAATGTCCTGAAAACTCATGAAATTGTGATTTGAATGTCAAGAAAGCAAAATACTTCTTACTGCCCTTAATTTATTTTTTAATTGAAAATATTTGATTTTAGACATTAAAGATATTTGTTAACAGTAATCCCAGTAATAAATGAAAATATTGAATGAAATTTTCCTGTCAGATTTCTCCTTAAAAGTTTTAATTTTGTTAATTATGTAACACATACCTCTCTTGAAAAAATACACAGATTCAGGTCTGTTCTTGTATTGAGCTATTGAGAGAGCTGCCACTATTTTTCCACTTAGTCCTCCAAATCCTTTGGAAATTAGTTTGGGATATCCTGCATCTTTTATATCATTGGTGAAACGCCAGTACTGAGAACCCTGATAATTAAAAAGAGGAAATGACATGAACAGCTTTTTAAAAGGTTATAAAGCAAGTAGGAGGAAGGTTAGAAACTCATTATTAGATTTAAGTATTGGGAGAAAGTTTTACCTTAGTTAATAATTTGAATAATTTGACAGGGTTACCATATTAACTTTTTATCAAATTTTAATGGTAGTTTGTTTATATATGGAGACTTTCTGAAATGGAAGTATGTTTTCATAATAAAAAGTAACTGCTGATTTCTCTCACAAGGATATTTTTCTTACCTTAAAGAAGAAAGTCTTTCCTTCACAGTTGCATCTCGTAAAAACAGTATCAATGGGGGAGGGAATGCCCCAAACTTCAGTAATTCTCCGAGGTGGAGATGGTGGACTGAATGGACTTAGCATCCAGAAATAATGACCTAAAATTGAAAGTGATGATCAGCCTACAAGCTGAATGAAGTCTGAAACCTATCCCAGAAGAAATCAAAATCAAATCTTTTAAAAATAGTTTATCATAAACAGATTGAATGTGTTGACAAGCATTCTATGATGGTTAGAATTGTAAGTACTAAATCTAGACGACTGTATTTGAACGTTTCTGAGAATAGATGTTTCTCAAGTCAAATTTAGCATGACAAAATTTTTAGTTTCCCAGTTTCTCTAGAAAGGGCCTTCTAGCTTTGATTTACAGAAAGTCACTTAATCTCTCAGTTTCTTTATCTGTCAGAATTAAGTAGTTACAATTAAATAACTTAGTTGTGTTTGTTACTTTATTCCCTAGTGCCTCAGATGGTCAGCAATCTGCCTGCAATGTCGGAGACCCAGGTTTGATCCCTGGGTCAGGAAGATCCCCTGGAGAAGGGAATGGCAACCCACTCCAGTATTCTTGCCTGGAAAATCCCATGGACAGAGGAGCCTGGCAGGCTACAGTCCATGGCGTTGGCGGAGTCAGACACGACTGAGCAACTAACATACTTTCACTGTGTCCAACTTTTTTAATCCAATGCTTTAGTATTTACCCTCAGGTCCTCATAATAACTATGTGAGGTAAGTTTATCAGTCAGCTTTCCCTCCAGGAAGCTCAATTCAAATTTGTACTCCAACGACTCGTTCCCATGAATACCAAGGACAAAACAAGGAGCAGGAAAATGTGTACAAAACTCACCTCGAAATGCAACTAATGTCCCGTTACGCAAAGTAGTCAGTCCATCTACTGGCCTACCATTGCATAAATTAGTTTCATCTGAAACAAATTAACACAAATTAAGCCAACATAAAAATGAGAAGAGGGTTTCTCTCTTTTCAAACCTTCCCATCAGGTTCTCTTTCCCCGTTCACCCTTTCCTAAGCTCTTGAAGAGTACATATTTGAGGTACATGTACTTCAGAGGTTTAAAAAAAGTGATACTGTTCATAGTTGTACTTAAAGGTGATATTACTCAAAAAAGTATATAAACATACATTTTGAATTGGAATGGGTTAGTGTACCTCATCTTCATGTAAATTTGCCAGGTATTGGATGTTCAGTCTCAGTGTGAAATTTTTTTTCTTAGTTCTGATTGCCTTGTGGAATTGATTTGGCAAAGAATAGTGCAGATTCTTGTAACCCTAAGTTGTTATTTGATTTTCCAAATACCAAATAAACTTATTTGCTTACCTGTAGAGAAGATGTAAAACTTCACGAGTTAAGTTCAGGGTTTTAAATACATATCGATAGAATAATACTAAATCAAGGCATTCTGGTTCAGAAAGATTTAACATTGCCGATTTTAAACGTGAAAATAACTGATTGATGTTACCTGAAAACATGGGGCTGATGCCGAAGCCTTGACTGGGTCCTCTCACTATGATTTCAGTGCCTGGAATAACTATAGGAGTTAGCACAGGGGGCCTGAAAATCACATGAGGTTTTTCTCCTTCAGCAGCATCTCCATCCTCATTCTTTGGGTTTACCTCAATTATTTCTGAGTTGGGGGTTGGGGTAGGGCTGGTGGTGGTTTGGAGCATGGCTTCTGGTAAAGAGGTAGGAGTCGGTTCAGGCATTGCTGATGTCGTCATCTTTGGGGGAGTTGGTGTCGTCTTTGGTTTTCTCACTCTAGGTGTTCTTGGCTTTTTGGTTGAAGTGGGCTTTTTGGGTGCTTTGGTTGGTTTCTGAGGTTTAGGAGTTGTCACTTGAGAATTAGTAGCTGTGCCTTTTGGTACAGCTGTGGTCTGTTCAGGTTTGCTCGTAGTCTTCTTGGTCGTCTTCTTTGTTGTAGTCATTACTTTAGGTGCAAGAGTTGCTTTAGGAGTAATTTTGGATGATGTTGTGGTATCTTTGGTTGTGGTAGATGTTGCATCTGTGGTTGTACTTGGTATTTTGGATTCAGTAGTCTTTTCTGTTTTAGTTGCTGCCTCTGTTATAATCTTAGCTACAGCTGTTGTAATTTCAGGTGTAGAATGTATGTCTTTTTCTGTGGACTTGTCTTTAACTGTTGTAGTCATTTCAGGTTTGTTCACTTTAGGAGCCTTGATTGTGGGTACTGCAGGCTCCTTGGGACTGTTTTCAAGAGCCTTTGGTGTGGGTTCTATAGGAGGTTGAGGAGTTGATTCAGCAGGGCTCTTTGGAGTAGTGGGAGGCTCCACTGTGGTGGTTGAAGTAGAGGCCTCTGAGGTGGTTGGAGCAGGTATATCAGGAGAACTTGGAGGAGATGTCTCAGGAGAATTTGGAGTGGGCTCCTTAGGTTCAACAGGAGCAGACTCCTTGGGGGTGGTGGGTACAGGCTCCTTAGGAATGGTGGGAGCAGGCTTCTTGGGGATGATGGTGGGTACAGGCTCCTTGGGAGTGGGTGCAGGCTCTTTGGGGGTGGTGGTGGGAGCAGGCTCCTTGGGGGTGGTGGGTGCAGGCTCCTTGGGGGTGGTGGGTGCAGGCTCCTTGGGGGTGGTGGGTGCAGGTTCCTTCGGGGTGATGGGTGTAGGGGATTTGGTTATAGTTTCAGCTTTGGGTGTAGATGTAGCAGGAACTTCAGGTGTGGGTGCAAGACCTTTAGTAGATGTATTCTCTGCAGTTCGTGTCTCTTTAGCTGAAGTAGTCTTCTCTTTTGCGCTAGTGGAAGTCTGCTTATTTGTTGTAGAAGTCTCTTTAGTTTCAACTGTTGTCTCTGTGTGGACTGTCGAAGGTGTCTCTTTAGTTGTGTCAGATTTAGGTGGAAGACTGGGCTTAGGAAGTGTTGGTTTTACTGTTGTAATCTTGGGAGTTGTGGTAACTTTATTACGTTGAGTGGTGGGAATGTTAGGAGTTGGGGTGAGCTTGAAATCACCATTATCCAGTCCACTTCCACCTTCATCTATAACTGGTGGTTCTGGGGTAGGTTTCTTTTTAGGAGTTCTTTTCTTCTTGTTATCTTTTACTAGAGAGAAAAAAAAAATACATCTTTTTATTTTTGTGACATAAAGATGCCATCCTTATCATTGACTGGCTGTGTGTGTCTAGGCAAATTGCTAATGTCTGACATGTCTATTGATTTACTGTAAAATGGTAAATACTGTTTTACTGGACTATTTTAGTGAATAAATGAGATAAGGGATGAAAAATACAAAACTCAATACAATTAATACATGGAAGTGGCAACTTGGAAATTATTAATATGATCAATAACACTAATTCAACTCTCATATCAATGTTCTTTGCTCCTCACTTTCTTAGTTCTTCTTATTCCTTATTTCTCACTGCCCCTTTACTGGAAACCTAGTTCCAGCATCTTTTAGACCCACTGCACCAATTCCCTCAGAAACCTCTATAACTGCATCCAAGGAATCTGTTCCAGTCAACCCCAAGCTTCTAGCTTAGCCCTGCTTCCATGCACGTGGCTTTGAACTGCCTTCTTTTCCCTGTCCATCTAAACTCAGCAGTCTCAGGGGATACAGAGAGGGAGATTAGGATACCATGGCAGGAAAAGGACCCTATTTAACAGGACTTCCCATAACAGCCACCCCATAGGTGGTGCCCAAGAGGCACATCACTTGGATGAGTTCTGTTTATCAAACAATTCTATTAATGCTCAGAGATTAAATATCTTGCTATTCAGCTAGAAAGAAGGCTTCAGGAACCACCCAGGAAATAGAATTCTTCAAAACTTCAATATCCAAAATCTGCCATTTCCTGGAGAATGAGAATATATTTTAGAAGTTCAGGAAATAATTTTTAAAAAGCAGAACAAATGAAATTTCTCTTTAGGAGGTAATCGCCAATTCTGTAGTATGTCCTTTACTACAGAAAAATCAGATATGACATAGTTAGAAAAATAATAAAGATCTGTAAAATGTGAATAATAATATTGCCTTTCAGGAATATATGATAATTTAATGGATTAAAGTTGCAAAATACTTAAGGAATAATATAAATGTTCTCTATAGGGAAGGAGAAATGAAATCACAATATAGAAGAGAGAGAAATGCTGTCGGGTGGAGAGGAACTGAAATAGAAGACCATTAGTAATCATCTCTGATGCCATCCTGTGGTTCTAGAGTTGCTGCTCTCGTCTTCTTTGGCTCTACAGAGTGGTGTCTTAGCTGCTTGGCACTAATTTCCTATAGGAAATTTTCACGAATATCTTTTAATATTTATGAAGTTACACCCCCCTCAATATTGGAATGTCCTCAAATCATTCTCCCACACACATGACTTAGATAATTATTGTTAACATGGCATTGATATAGTCATTGATCTTTATCAATGCTCAAACCTTTGGGTTTCTTCTTTAATTCTCTATTAGCAGCTGAATTTTTGGAAGACTTGATTTTCCGAATAGTTGAAGAGGAAGAGGAAGAGGAGGAGGAAGACTCTTGATTTTCAGAAACAGAATGTTCTATAAATCAAATAAAAAAGTTGATCACACCAACTGTGATTTAAAGCAAAAAAGAACTGCCAGTCCAAATGCAACAAGAAATGCTGTTTATTGATCTACAAATGTCATATTCTGCTCTTGTTTTATCAGTAAAATGAGCAACTTCTCTTGTAAATGTCAGTTAAAAGCAAGGCACCTGAGCTTGTCACAGATACTAGAGTATAACTATTCAATATATAACTGTCACTCAACTTTCTTATATTCCACTGAATCAAGTCGTTATACAAAGAAAATCATGAACTCTTTTTTTAAAAAACAGTAAATCTTGTTTCTTCTGATTATTTTAATCGAGTCCTGTACAGTTTGGTAAATAAGAAAAATAACTTTGGCTTGAACTTTGACTTAAACAAAAAGTGTGATGAGCCTTTAATGACTTAGAAGATCACCTTATTCTATGAAGAGTTCATAGAAGTAGTCCACCTACAGATTGTTTCATCTTAGAAACAACCTTTTGTTACATCTGTCATCTTCCTACCTTCTGTTATTTCCTCTGATTCTATAACTTTCTTAGTCTTCTTCTTGTTTGGTGATTTGGGTGACCGTTTGGTTGTTGATTTGATGGTCTGAGATGCTCCTGGAGGTGGAGGTGCAGTCTTTGGAGGTGGAGGTGTTGTGGGGTTATGCACTGAGGCCAAGCAAGACAGGTTGGTTAACATCTGGTTCACATTCATCAGCAGCTCTAACTGTGAAAGGCACAGATGCCATCTGGCTTCCAGAGTAGATGCTAGTGAAAACCAGTGCAGGCAAGCTCTCAGCCCAGCACTAACTACTCCAAACTAGTGAATTCTGAGAATGCATTGCTATTTTTAAAAAAAAGAAAAAAGATTCTCAAATCACTGTAAATTATGACTTGGAGCAAAGACTCAGGAGTCAGAAGACCTGAATTCTAGTTCTAGACCTGCAAGGCTCCGCTGTTGACCTTGGACAAATGGGCAAACCCTCTTGAACCCCCTTGCCTGCAAACTGAGATGTTTTCTCCTAGATGATTTCCAGAGGTGTTTGCCTGCCTAAAAAATGCTTAACTCTATGCACTCCATTCTTTATGCCAGCCTTCTGTGATACAAAAATAATCCCTGCATGTGGTTGACAGATATTTGTGCTCTCAAGAAGAAAAATATAAAAATTACATTCTCCTGTTGTATTCATTTAAATCAAATGATACCAATTTACCTTCCTTTTCTTTTTCAATTACAAAAGTTCTACATGAATATTTACCCATGGAAGAATTTCGCACTTTCATATTATGCTTTCCTCAAAATGCATTGCCTTTCTCCAAGATAAAATAGCTTAATGGTTTGGCATGTACCTTTTTAACCTTTTATTGCCCCTACTCTTTGCCCCTTCTCATGCCTAGAAGAGAAGACATGGAATATGTTTGATCATTAGGAACTATAAGAAAAGAAGAGGGACTTATCTGAAAGATAAGAGAACAGGGAGAGAGAAGGGCCCCTGGGTGGAGGAGAGTGGTGATAAATCCTGCTACTCTTACCAAACTTCTCCTCCAAACTCTGTTTTTTTAATTTCCATGAGCTGACCACCATAACATTCCCTCTTTGTCCTTCCACCCCACAAAAATGCCAGGTACCACAACTTGAAAAGTTTTTTCACATTCTAATGATCTTGACCAAGCTATTTAACCTCTTGGACTGTTTTCTCACCCACATTCAGAGGTGCTTGACTGCTTCAATTCTTGAACTGTTAGGACTTTGAGACATATAGATGCCTATAAGCAGTGTCTACAGCAATCTTAAAATGACTAAGTGGTGAGTTGCAAGACAGTTTGGGTTTGTTTTTTTTTTTTTTTTAAGAAAATGCTGAAGCTCTAATGATGCTTCTATTTTCAGTTGGACCCTGACGATCTCTGTGAATTCTGTAAATGAAGCACTACCTTCATCAATTTTTGTTCATTGAGTTTAACATACACCTCAAGTAATCTGACCCGCCACTTGGTAGCATAAACTATTGCCTTTATTAATATGGTTCTCTCAATGATTGATCATCCTCTAATCATTTTCCCTCCCCATCCATCCTCTGCCCAAAATAAATTCTTAGTTTTTTGTCTCACAGCCAAAACAACTATCAGTGATGAGTGAATAAGAAGCACTCATCTCATAGGTCCATCTGAAAGCTGCAGGAACTCTGCACTTGGAGATTTTAATTACAAGGGTGTTGTCGCCATTATTTTTGGAATGTTTTCCAATGAAAACATTGAAGAGTTAAGAAATGTTCCTCCACTATGCTGATTAACAGTTTTCCACCCTATTTCTTCACTGTTTGAAAGAAGCAGAAGATGCAACCTTATTTAAATAAAATGATAAGATTATGCAAGCAGTACTCATTTTCACTTTTACTTTACAGATATTCCTGTTTTAACAGGGTAGGACTTAAGAGCAAACATTTGGTAAAAGAAAGGAATCAATTATTTAAATACATTTTTGTAAATCTTTTTTCTTTTGGTAAATTTAGAGGGTTTTATTAAGCTGTCAGAATATTCCTTCAGGACCTGTAATCACAGAAGAGGATTTTAAAATGAAACTACCTTTTTTTATTGACCCCTTCATATACAGACATTTAGATAGAGACTATTGAGGAGACTGTAGAGGGGAGAGGAACGCAGTAGACAGTTAACTGCAAACAGTAGACAGTTTGACAGCAAACTTTGGTTTGCTTATCAATATAGTGCTTTAAACGGACTCCTAAGTTTACTAGTTCAGAGAAGTTGAACGTGTTGATTCTGTCCTCAGATATACACTCAAGAACACTGAGAGCAAAAGCACAGATAGCTCAAAGGACAGTTGACTTTTTGAGGTCAGCACAATGGGATTAGACAAGAAATCATCAAATGAGCTGGATACTGTTGACATAACCTGCAATTGAACCACACCTGGAGGAGAAAAGCGTGGATACAAGCCCCTATCTCCGTTACTCAACCTGCGATCTCTTGTGCTCCTGGAACCTGGCTGAGCCAGGGAGTGATAGGAAGACGCCTTGCTTCTTTAATTCATCGTGGTGAAACAAAGAGCTTACATGTTAGTAAAATCGAGAGCCGAGGTGGACCACGTGTTAGACATGATCTGTGGCGCTAGGGGAGGTGCACAGATCTGGCTGTACTGGGAAGCGCTGACGGTAACCGGATGCTCACCTTCTTCGCAGAAAGTGTCGTAATCGGAACAGCACTTGCCGTACTTCTTACAGTCTGAGTCGCAGTCACACTCCCTCCCTCTTGCAAAGGATTCGAAGCAGCGGCCTTTACAGGAAAGCTCTACCCAGAGCAAAGCAAAACATTATGGGTTATTGGTTGTGTGGTCAGTCATGCCTATGTATTGATTAACCATTTTCCACCTTATAGCTGGCTAGAGCTCCAAAAGTGCATAGCTAAGTCTTCTCTGGAATTTGGAAAGTGGTTAGTTTCCCAAATGAAGACAGCTGAAGTCAAGAAAGAAATCTGGAGACTTAGGGAAACTTTTCTTGCCCTTCAAGGCTCCAACAGACATCCCAGTGCTGTCTGAGTCATTTCATGTATGGACAGTGGAAAACTGAGAAATGTCTAAAGAGGTAAGTATCCTTCATATGAATTCCCCCATCCTCTCCTCACACCATTACTTTCCAAACTGATTTTTGTTAATTGATCATACATATTCTATAACAATATATCCTAAAGAGTTGACTTAAAATAAATAGGTCACTAGTTATGCTCAAAAATTTTTCAGAATGCGCAAACCTTTATTATGACAACCTGGCATGGTATAGAGCTGAGAGATGTCAACCCAATCCTTTGGTATGGACTATATAAGAGAAGTCTGCGTGTTTTCCCCAAGAGCCTTGGTTAAAGCCACAGTGATTTACACAGGCATATTTGAAATAATTACCTTACACAACAAATAAATTGTACAACAATATATTTACCAACTTCACATGCAAATTCTAAAGCCGACATAACTTTGAGTCACCTTAATAATTTTCACAAATATGAAATTTTTGCACATTAACAACAAACTGGTCCAAAATATGTTTAAGTGAACTGTCATAACTTAAAATTGCACCCTTTGGTTTTAACTGAAATTCATCATTAAATACTCATTATTAAACACTGTAAAGTGCCTTTTTTCAGGTAACCTAAAACATATTAATATCAAAAGTCAAACAGTAAGAAAAATTATTTTATTTCCATGAACTTCTTTGATGAAGATATTGAAGGGCTCCATCACTAAGTAATTACTTCTCTGGTTAATAGCAAAGAATTACTACTGTTTACTTAATGACCCCTGAGTCACTCTATTAAGTCTCTATTTAAAACAAGACCTGATACTGGGCACCAGTCAATAGCCTTGTGCAAGTGACAGGTTTCCAGGTTCCCCTCCCCCTCCCCCTATGGTCGCAGCTTTGACGTCATCTTCAGGCACAGCACACTGCAACATTTACGCAAGGGAAGGGAGAAAGGCACCTCAGCACAAAGACGTGAACAGTTTGACAACAGCACTGCAAGGGGTTCAAGGGGCTCTCACGGGACATGAGCTTGACAGAGGAGACAGCAGCTCTCAGGACTTACCCACGGTGCAGACCTTCTTGAAGTCAGGGCAGCACTCCATGTAGTGTTGACAGTTATAGTCACAGTTGCAGATGGCATCTCTAGAATACCCTTCCCCACATCTCCCCGCACAGCTTGCTACATCTAAAATCATACAACACTAGTGTAAACATGGCCAAATGACTTTATATAGAGAAGGGGTCTAAGGAGTAGGACTAAGCCTCTCGGTGATGGAGAATTCTGTCCATTGGAAAAGGCTGGGAAGGATGGTTTGCGATGGGTCCCAGTGACATTTGCTTCCTCCTCTTTAGTCATTACTAGACTGAGAACATAAATACACCTTTGAAAACCAGGCTGAGTAATGGCTTTGGACAAAGAGGGTGCTCTTCCTGGGGGAGGGCTGGCAGCTGCAATTCTACTAATGCTGCCATTTACCGAGCAACTCCGTGCTGGTACTGAGTCATACACTATCTCTAACGCTTATGAAACGTTGCCAGGAGAGTTTCAGTAGTCTCTTTTTTAGAGATAAAAAAGCTGAAACTCAGAAATTTTAGGAACTTGCTCAAGGGCACCCAGTTAGTAGTTCCAACATATATGTATTACAGGTCAGTGAACACCTATCAATCATTCTTATCAACCTCTTTCACTCTTAGAAATGTCCTGATTTGTATACCAAATTGTATGGTCATCCTAAGTAAACAGCCCACCTAGAATTTGAACTCTGATATATCTGAATCCAAAACCCAAACTTTCCCCACCCAATCACATTGCCTCTCATTCCTGATGATGCATTTTTAGCAAGCTGGCTATGCCAGTGCTAATTTTCCTATACTCCTGCTCCTTTCGTTGGTGGGGATGTCTGGGGTCTATAAATGTGAGAAGAAGTCAGAGGCCTTCAACCACTGCTAAAGAGAGTACAAAATAGGTAATTCTTGAAAAGCATCTGAGCATGAATATTAAAGTCATGAACAGAATTATTTTAGATAAAAGTATAATTATCCTTACATATATTTTTTAAATCATTTGGAAACACCATGAAAACCTCCCTGAGAAATAACCACAGAAATGTAACAACTGAATCCATCCGTGGAATAGAGACTGGCAGGTGCAGTGTTCTAAATCCACAGAGGGATGTTGAAGCACTGAAAAAAATCTCAAAATAATGAATCCAGGAAAATTAAAGTCTTACTATGCAAGTAAAACATTGAACATTAGGACAACTTTCAGAACTTTTTACATACATATGTGCACAATGCATACAAAAATGCATATCATATATAGTGTATGTATATAAATACATATATTATATATACAGAAAAAAGAAGGGGAAGAAATTGAGAAGGCAAGAAAAGCAGACAAGACAACATCAAAAGATTATTTTACAACTAGCAGATTTCTGAAATGGGAAGTCAGTTATTTTTATAGGAAAAATTTATTTCCTTGGATTTAATGAATGTCCTAGTTTTATTGATGTTGATTTTAACAACTAGTTTTAAATTCATTTAATTAAAGGAGAGTAAAATTTTTTGTGACCCACCAATAGTGTTATGAGGAAGTGACTTAGGAAATGCACCCGTGTTATGAACCTTGTAACATTATTCTGAGAGAGCAGAAGAGCTTGGAGACACCAGAGTATTCATCATTCCTGATTAAATATTTATATTTGCTCTCATGAGTTTTTCCACCTTACCTAAGTGATTCTGAAACTATGTCCATGCAGGCAGGTATCTCACATGCTCAGTTTATTTAATCATTTTACTGGAAGTGTCTACCTTATAAGAGTAATTTTGCCACAACAATTATGTATCTTGATTTTTCTTCTCTCATATTTTGCTTATCAAAGAAAAAAAAGGGAAACAAAAATCCAAAGCTTGGTATTATTGTTAAGTAATCTATTTTATGATGCTAGAGACTTCTGTTAAGGTGATTCCACTGCACATACCTTAACGTTTTCTAAAAATGAATAATAAGAACTGTTCTTACAGGACTATTTTTGGAGGGCTATGAATGGTTCAGTATTGTAAAATGACATTCACACCTGTGTAAATTCTGAATTTACTATTCTGAATGAATAGTCCTTGAAAGAAGAAAGCACACTTTCAAGATTACTAAAATGCCCTTTGAAGCATAAATATTCACTGTAGTATGTTTATATCAACATGATGCCAACATAAGCTATCGATAATTTATTTGATATAAAAGATTAGTTGAATTTATTTGTAAACATGCAGGAAAAATCATATGCTGTTTAAATATTGTTCATTTCAGTTAATCTGATGATATATCATTCCAACATAGTTTTGTTGTGTGTCTGTGTTTTTTAAACCTTTGGGAGAACCATAGAACAATAAGTACAAAAACTACTCTATTGAAAAGCTCAAAACTTCTAGAAAGATTTCATAATACAAAATGCTTATAAATATGCTACATATTCTTTACTTACTTTTAAGGTTTTACTATGCATTAAACTCAGACAAATATCATTTTTAGAAAGTTATTTCTTTTGTTGTCATAAAAGTCAGAACTGAACAATTAGCAATCTCTGTCAAGTAAAAGTATTTCTGACAGTTAAGTTACCTTGAGAAGAAACTTGCTGAATTGAGAAAACAGAAAACAGCAGCAACGAGTAAATGGGAAGTATTTTCCACTCCATGGCTGCTTTCAGGTACTGAGCCTTCGCTGAAAAGAAAATAAAAGTATTAGAAAACTCCTCTTGGATCTCACCACTAATTTATGCTTGTATTACAGCATTTCAATAATTTTAAAATTCAATTTAATGATAAAAAAACTTTCCCATTCTTAAAACGAGACGTTTAAAAGTAACCAGCCTTAATTCATTGTAAATACTTGGCCATTAGGTTTAATCTTATACAGAAAAAAATCATCAAATCACCATCTCAATCATGTTACTGGCCATTTTAATACTTTAGAATCTCCCAAATAGAAAAAAAAGACCTATCTTAAAACTCTATTCAAATGATAGCAAGTACTTACAGTGCAAGGTTTAAATCCTATCTTGAAGGGAAAAAATAAGTAACCAGCTTTAGTAAAATTTAATTTAACAAACAGAGTTATCATTCCAACTTTCTCTTAACTCTCAATATAAATTCATAAGCTTCCAGCAGGTGTATTGCATAAATGTGATTCTTTTCTAAACTCTCCAACTACTATCCTTATAAATCTTTTCAAGCACCTTTAATAAAGTATATCCTTATTGAATTGAAAACATATAATTCCATGAAGCAAGTTAACTGTGACACTTACCCGTAAAAGGAGAGATGAATTCCTCCAATGTCCCGTAAGTCTTATATATCAGAGCAAATATGTTAGGATGAACCAATTAGTCCAAAGGTTAGACAAAATCAACAGTGACAACCTATGAAATCAAACTTTCCTCATTTATTGGAACAGGTCCCAGACGACCAGACTTAAGTAACATCTGGAAAACACTTCCATTAATAAAATGACTACTACAAATAAATTTAGACTTATTGGCCCAAACACACTTCTAATTTCTAAGTGAAGTGAACAAATTGTTCTGAGATGGTAAATTGCTTGGCAGGCTTTGACTAGTGCAGCAACTTTAAAATAGTCAAATGATGGTATCATTTCTTTTTTTTATTTTTCCAGTTAACCCAGCAAAGAGTGTTTTTGAAACTTTATCTAGTTTCAGCTTATGGCATAAGTTTTCTGAACTTATACATTTAAATGTTTAATTCTTTTCTTGAGTATTTTCATTTTCACTGAGCACAGAAAATATGCTTTCAGTTACCTATTAGGTGGATGATTTTCACTGTGGATTTTATAACTTCCTTTACTATGTAAAAACATGCTTAAAAACTACATTGATGTCTCCCTTAACACCTTTATTTAAGCCCAGCAATGTTTGGAAAAGGTCTTTTTACTTATTCATGTAGCTTCCTTGTCACAGAGAAAATGTGAACCATCAGCTTCCCAGAGTTGGGTCAGCTAGCTAAAGGTTTTACCCGGTTTGGTAGGAAGTATTCCTGTTCAAGGGCTTCCCAGGTGGCGCTATTGGTAAAGAATACACCTTCCAATGCAGGAGACTTAAGAGACGTGGGTTTGATCCCTAGGTTGGAAAGATCCCTTGGAGAAGGGAATGGCAACGCACACCAGTATTCTTGCCTGGGGAATCCCATGGACAGAGGAGCCTGGTGGGCTACAGTCCCTGGGGTCACAAAGAGTTGGACCCCACTGAAATGAATGAGCATGCATGCACATGCCTGTTCGAGTCCTCTCTACCTACATGAGGCCTAGCTTGTGTCCTAGCACCTCCCTGAAATCTTGTCAGATCAATCTAAAGCACAACTGGAATCATTATTGAATTAACTGTTCATCTGTCTTATTCCCACCTCCCAGGCCCCTTGGACAATCTGAATTTCCCCAGGACAGCTAACTTCTATGTCTTCATATGTAGTCCAATGCTTCACCAAAGATGTATTCCATACAAGCTTATTGAACCAAACTATTGTGAGTTGGGGTCTGCTGTATACTATGTGTTTGGTAGGTGCAACACTTAATTATCATTTAAAAATGCCTTTAAATTTATATATAATCATCCATATTTTACAGATAAGATGAAGATACACAAATGAAGAATCTGTGACCCTACTGAGGATGCATAAACGAGTAGAAGCCAGAGCCAAAATTTGAACCTATTTATTCTGAGGTCTCCTGTGTTCCTACTCTATCTGGCTCCCTTCTGATGAAGGTCACCCCTTCAGTACTTAATCATAGTACTAAATGTTACTCCTCCATGTGTGCATGTGGGTTTATGTGACTGTGACCTTTGTAAGCCAGAGATGGTAATGTAAGCATCTCTTTTGTTTCCACAATTCTTATTCTGGGCTGTATGTTTGAGGACAATTTAGAGACTATCTGATCTAAATAATCTCCTTTCTCTGAGAACTACCTCCCTGACTTTAGGCATGTTTCCCTTTTAGCCAGTTTCACATACATGATCTTGCCACATCAGACTCAGCCAGCAAGATTGGGAATAGAAACCTGAAATAAACTAGGTTAATGTGTTTCCCTGTCCTGGAAATTTGGAATTGCAACCCAGAGATGACAAGTTTGTCTATGTAGACATATAGTGTGTGAACAACTGTCTAAAGAAGTAGAGAAAGTCCTTCAGTATAAAGATACGCAAATGAAGGAAGCAGTCACGCAGAAAGTGTTCTGAGAGCTTTCTGGGTCTTGGTTATTCCTTGTTCCTGAGACCCAGTTGCCTTCTTGCCCTGGGTCTTTATGGCAGATTCTCCCTTAGGGGATGAAAGTAGCTAAAGATTATGATTTGTCTTACTTAAAGTCACTAATCAGTACATAGCAGATGTACAGAGAATCCTGTTGGATGGAACTGAACTGAATTAATTCTTAGCGTTCCTGAAGTCAGGAAGGGGAAGCTAGAGGCTTTGTAACTTTTTCAAGTCAGATGTTTACATCTTTTTCTTGTTAGTTGTTTGAAATGCTGAGAATATCAAGAATATCAGAAATACACACAGACATATATTCTTAAACAGAGTGAGTTCTGATTATTGCCTTCTAGAGTTATCTGTACTAATGTTTTCCTTCTTTGGATAAAGATGGAAAATCATTAGAATGATGGCAAGATATATTCTTTTTTATTTGGCTGCATCGCATGACATGTGGGATCTTCGTGCCCCAACTAGGGATCAAACCCATATGCCTGCAGTGGAAGCATCAGTCTTAATCGCTGGACTGCCAGGGAAGTTCACAAATGGTGTTCTTAAAGTGACTGAAAAATCTTCTCTAGTAATTCTTGCTAAATTCACCTTCTAGGCTTAGGAAACTGACAACACACACACATAATTGTGACCAATAACAACTTTAAACATATCCACTGAGACATCAAATACGTTGTCTCTGCGTATTACAGTAGGGAAAAAATGAGAAACTTCATTAAATATCAAGTTCATGGAGTTTAACCTGATTTGCATAATTCTATTGGGTAATGAAGCTATCTGGGTAGGTAAAGTTTGCCTCTAAAGTATGGCAGCATTTTCATTTTATCTACTAAATATACAAACTGTACTAAACGCTTCATTCTGTGAGTAATGGACCTTTCAGCCTTCCTTGCTGACCAAACAGAAATCTTTCCATTAGATTATAGGTTCCCCCTCTGAGATTTCTTTTCTCATTTAAATGTTTTTTCTTAATGTTCACTTAAATGTCACTCAATTGGGATAAAAATTATCTCAGGACTGGTTTTTGGTGTGAGGGACATGGGGAGGAGGGTGAAGAGAGGGGGAGAGTGTGTTAATAATATTGGATCCTACCCTCATCTTCTAGGGGTGTTTTTCACTGGATTCACCCTCATGAACACCAGTGTCTGTGCTTGGCAGCAACACAGTGATGCCTTCAGAGAACATTCAAGTGTGTTTAGGGATATTTTCTCTGCATTAAATTATCCCAGACCGATGTGCCCTTCTCCTTGCGGTGCCCTGTTTCCCCATCCCTGCTGTTCCTTGTCACTTTGCCCTGTAGCCAGTGCATCTGCATCGAGCGGCTGCTCTCCACCTTTCCACACTTCGGGTGTTTTTCTGTTTCTTCCAGAAGCAGCTTAGGAAAAACTGAAGGCTGGGAAGGGAAAGCCACAGAGGCAGTTTTGCTCTCTATTGCCCCAGTGTTGCTCACAATGCCAAATTAACGTCCTCTGGAACAGGGGTCCGCAACCGGTCTGTTAGGAACCTGGCCACACTGGAGGTGAGTGGTGGGCAAAACCAAAACCATCCCTGCCTCCCACCCTCTGTAGGAAAATTGTCTTCTATGAAACCGGTCTGTAGCCAAAAAGGTTGGGGACCTCTCCTATGGAATAGAGCAGGGGATTTGGGGACCACCTCAGGCTTTCTATGTGGTTCAGTGGTAAAGAATTCGCCTGCCAATGCAGGAGATGCAGGAGACTTGGGTTCAATCCCTTGGTCAGGAAGATCCAGTGGAGGAAGGCATGACAACCCACTCCAGCATTCTTGCCTGGAGAATCCCATGGACAGAGGAGCCTGGCAGGCTACAGTCCGTGGGGTCACAGGAAGTCAGACGCGACTGAGACACAGCATGACATGACACATGGTCTGTCTGCTCTGTTCATGGCACTTTCACAGGGTTGTGGCTTTTTTTTTTCCAACATGGATTAAAAGTCTAACCATTACCTAAGAATTATTGCATTTGTTTGCGGAGGTCGTGGGCCTTTTCTACCCTCTTCCAGATGCCCAGCTAGAGATTCCGCTGCCCAGCTCCCCATTCAGTCATGCGTGACAAGGTGACTGTATTTTCTCCAGTGAAATGTGAGTGGATGGAGTATGTACAGCTTCCACTCTGCCTCCCAGACAGCAAATCACTTGACCTGGACACCCTCTTTCCCCACTTCTCATAGAAAGCTACATGGCCCATGCACATGTCTTAATTGTGCCTCCCAGTGATCTGATAACTATTGTAATTAAACCCATTTTACCTTTGACTAGTTAAGACACAGAAAGATTAAGTAATGTGCTTAAGACTAGAAAGCAGTAAATGGTAAAGTGAATATGTTAACCCATGCCTGTCGGGCTACACAGCCATGATTTTAACCAGTTCTGTGACCCAATGCTGTCATATCCAAAGTTAATAACTATTTACTTTGTGCTCCTACATAACTTTATTTGTATTCTATAAGGGCATTTCTTACTTATCAATATCCATTTTTCATACCAAGTCATAAGCTTCTGAAGGATCCAGAGCGATTACATTAGGCTCATTCTGTAGTGTATATTCTTTCTATACCTGATTGATACTCTATATGTTTGCTGAATTTAACTCAAGTTTACAGTCTTTCTTCTAAGGGCTATTTTGCCATCACATCTCTGTTTTCCAGCCATTACCAGTACAGCATTGCGATCTCTCCAATATACATCACTTGGATTCCAGATGTCAAGGAAGGATATTATGTATGACAGCTCAGACGAAATCATTACAAATTTATTTCCCAGAAGCCAACAACGTGAGTAATTTCCACGTAACTGTTAAGTGAGTGAAAGTGCATTGGGATGTTTTAATAACTCAGTGTGACAAATACTTGAGACTGGGAAATTCAGAGAATGGGAGAGAAGTTTGGCTGTGGTTGAAGGACCACACATAGGTGGGACAAGAGGAGAGTCTTCCAAGAGACAGCATCGAGGACATTTTATTGAGTCATTCCAAAGCAGAAATGCAAGGCTCTTCAGAGACACTGAGCATAATGCAGTTTTGGCTGGTAGTACAACATTGCCTAATAGTCTTTGTAAAAATCCCTTTGTCTGCCCATGGTAGCTAGTTTCTGTCAAAAG